TTTATTTTATTTTATTTTGATCTATTATTTATTTGTTGATAAGTATTTTAAAGTTTTGGTAATTGCGAATGCCAAACAAACAATGTGGCGATAAGTTAAAATACAAAAACAAAAACATAAAAATACAAAATAATAAATACAAAAAAATAGCAAAGGTAAAATAAATATCTAAAATAAAATATACGCCGTACAATACATCAGATTTTAATCAGATTAAAACAGCCCATGATGTCATGATTAATATTCATGATTATTCATGATTATTATTATAAATAAATGATATCAGGTGATAACCTAGTTATTAAATGACTGAGTGTCAAAACAAATGGGAAATCATGATTTTATGGAACTACAGTTATGAATAATATGTTGTTCCGCTATGTATACCAGAAAGTATATAGTTTTTACACAATTGTTAAAACTTCATGAAATATGATTTTAAAAATTAATAACATTGACCACATTTTTTTTGAAAAGCATGATTTTCCATCTTTTTGACATGGATCGTGAATTGCGTCATTTCTGTTTCAAATCAACATAGAGTGTAGTTGTAATACATTTTTGTAGTACTTTATAGATATTTGATTAATTTCAGAACAACAAAACAATAACTTAAATCAGAATTAGAAGAAAAACATAAAACTTTTAAATTATTAGGAGAACATAGGGACTGAACTTCCTGTCACCACAGATGGCGCACTTCATGCAGCCTCCTTCTAAGTGATTTACCCATCATGCACTTTAAGAACAATTATAATATAGTTGTGGATGTACATAACCATTTGCAATTATATATTTATCAAACAGATGATTATTTCCATAATTAACTATTGAGGTTTTAAAATAGTGTTAGTGTGTGTGTGTGTGTGTGGGGGGGGGGTGAGTCTCATACAGAATTATACATAATTGTCACTCAATGAACTAATTTCCTTATAACTGCAATAAATTTTAATTCTATATCCCAATATTTATCCTGTTAAATTGATTTAAAGATCTAATGACAACTAGTTGCATGTTTGGGGTAAGTATGATTAAAAAATTCTTATTCAAGTAATGTGTACGCTTAAAACAACCTCTTTTTTTCTTATCAAATTATTTTATCTAATTTTTGAAGACAATTTAATATTATTCCATTAAATGGAAGCAATGGAATACATGTAGTATTGTTGAATATTATCGGCTGAAAACATTCTTTACAGATGAATATAAGAATTTCAGTTTCTCAGATGACATAGTATATACTTTTAAAATTGCCATTGAAAACAAATATATACCTTCAAATTTGAACAAATGTTTTTACAGAAAACTAATAGAATTGCTATTAAATGTAATTTTACTTTTTGTCTAGATTTCTCAAAAATAAAATTATTTAAATTATATATTTTCACCATATTTCCTCTGTTAGTTGCTCATGTAAATAATTTTGTTATGGTCAAAATAAATATTTTAATTATTTAGTTTACAGCCTATGCAATTGTTGGTTTATATGCACATATATTTGCAACGTGCCTCTAATAGAGCAGATACAGTATATTAAATGGTAGTTATTTTTATCTTTTGCAAATGAATTTAAAAAAATAAAACATTACATCACTGCCACAAATACTTTTTTGTATTACAGATTTAGTACCCAAATCCTGTGAATGACTTCACAGATAAAAAGTGAAAGTATATTTATTTGTATTTTTATATATAACACTGCAGTGACTTTCAACATTTTATATAACACATGTTTTATTTTCTATTTGTTGTTGTCACAAAACCTTCTGACCTAAAATGAAGTCTCTTTCTTATATTGGGGACCTAGAAATTCAGGATACTGTGCTTCATTATTCAGAAAAAACAATATTCATATTATTATTTTCTTTATAATTATTATACTTTTCATACATTCATATTCAATTTTCACAATGATGTGCCTTTACATTATTTTAATTCAAGGCAAAAACTTTATTTTAATTATTGCACTGTACATTTCTTAGTTGACTGAAACGTTTGTGATTAATGGTAGAAAGTTTATATCAATACCTGTTTGGCTTTTTTGAATTAAAATAACTTTTATAAAAAAAAGTCTTTTGAAGTCAGTGTCATGTGGGAGAATTACTTTTTTTTTCAAATCATCAACTTAATTTGTGGTCGTTGTATTTCAAGTAATGTTGTGCAATAGTTTTATCTTTTTTTATATTTCCTCTTCAATTATGTGTGGTACATGTTGAGTAATGCACTCTTGTATAACTAATTAGTTAAATAAATGATGGACCCCCCCCCTCCAAAGATCCTGATCTTACAGGAAAAGAAGCCTGTAAGATTTTGACACAAAATCCTATTCCCACAGGACTTATTAGGATGATTCCTATAATGTTTTTACAAAAAATCCTATAGGAATAGACCAATCGAAATCCCATGGGAACTGTCCTATTGCAATTCCATAGGAGTTTGTTCTATTGAAATCCTACAAAAATTTGTCCTCATACAATCCTATAGAAATTTGCAATCCCATAGGAGTTTGTAAGGATATCTATGTGCACACGCACAGACAGAATAACAGCAAAGACTCCCATTGTGTTTCACACACAAGAGTAAAAAAATGCCACAACTCTCCATGTTGTCAAAACTAATATTCTAATTCTGTTCAGCAACAAATACCAAAATGAATATTCTAGATTGTACTTTGTTTACTTGATATGTTTATAAATTAATATTAATATTGAATGTTGTTATTTTAGTTTTATTTTCAGATACGGTTGAATTAGGTATGAACTTTAATGATATAAATATTCAGACATTTATTTTGTAATACTCTCTATAATAATCTGGCCAGAGTCTAACAAAAAAGTGTTATGCAGCATATCAAGGTGTGACCAGTATATTTTTGGTTGCTTGTAGGTAGCAATATTGCTAGAATTGGATCAGAATTTCCCCCAAAAAAGTCTAGTCAGACAATTATCGTATACTTATTATTGTTAATGTTACCAAGCAGACTTGAACTTGATGACACAGCTGATAACATCACATATTGAAATTATT